CCGAGTGCACAAATTTTTGTGCACCGGGCCTCTAGTATACATATAAAAAAAAGCCTAAGCAATTGAATGACCGGTTGCTATGACACGCACTGACACCAGGGAGCAGATGCTCAACATCACCAGAGCTGCCCCCCGGTGGTCAGTGTACTCCCACAGCAGGAGCGCTGCTCAGCTGACCCATGGGGGCCAGGCGCCAGGCTTGTGGCTGGGGAGCACAGCTGCGGTGGCATGAGCCTCTCCTGCTTCTGCGGCAGCACTACTGGATGGTGGCAGCAGGAGCGGGGCCACCAGGATGAGCGGGAGTGGCGCAGCGCCCAGCCCGGGCTTGGGCTCCTCCCTGGCCACCTGCCACTTCACACACTACTACATCCCTCAGGGGATGTCGGACTGCTGGTTTTGGCCCAATCCTGGTAGTCCAACATCCCCCAAGGGGTCCCAGATTGCGAGAAAGCACAGGCCAGGCTGAGGGACCCCACTGGTGCATGAATTCATGCACTGGGCCTCTAGTTATTAATAACGAATTACAACGTTCACTAATGGCTGATTACTATAATGGTGTTGCATTCATTTCCCTTACACGCCTTACACGCAGGCACACCATTTCTCTCCACTAATACTAGCAGCAAATATTTCAGCAGTCTATTGCCATGTCATGGTCTTGGACTGATTTGTTTGGTGTGTGCAACAGGAAATACTTCGCTTTCAGAGAACAAGAAAAATAGGTTTACAGTGGGGCCTTGACTTATGAGTGCCCCGACTAACGAGTTTTTCGAGATACGAGCCGTCTCTCGGCCGATTTGCTTTGATTTGAGTTGCGAGCTAAAATTTGGGTTAGGAGCCAGCTTCAGATACCCCACCGCTAGTTGGTGCAGCGAACGTCACAGTGAACGCCACAACATCAGCCCAGCATCACGTGTCTCACGTGATTTGACATACGAGTAATTTGAGTTACAAGCTCCGACACGGAACGAATTAAACTCGTAAGTCAAGGCCCCACTGTATTTGCATTATGCTTATTAATTTGTGCAGTTATTCAGTGCCTGGTACGTTAATGTTCAAGAAAAAATATTAATTTTTATTAAAATGTTCTATTTATTTCAACCCTTTTTATTCAGCATGTCTCTATCAAAATAAATCTACGTTTCTATGAAAATTGAAGCTTTTGTTTTTTTGCGGCCCACATAAAGTTAAACCTTATTTGGCCAGTGTTAGCCTTTGAGTTTGGCATGCTTGGGCTAGAGGGTTATTGTGAGGACGAATGCGTGTGTTCGGCTGAACTCAAGATGAGGGCTGGAAAGCAACTGACTGAGGCGGCAGCAGGCAGTGCCCAGGTGAAGTCTGAGGAAGGTGTGACAACCTTCGCATTTAATTAGGTCTTTGTAAATCTAAGAAAAAGCACACACAGGTTTTTAGAAATGCCATCTGGTTAATTGAGTTTTGATTAAAAGGATGCCAGATAACAAAGTTTAAGATATTCTTAATCTCTCCACAGGAATTCCACTGTAAGGGATTCCAAAAATGGACAAGGCCCCAAAGAGTCTAATTAAAAAAAACTCCAACAGGAATTCTTCTTAATCTCTAATTATTCTTTGTTTTTAAAACTGCACATTCCAGTCCAGTCACAAGACCACAGTGGGTCAATCATGGCTCATGTGCACATTAATCATGCTGGGGATGTACAAGTTCAAGTTATTAATGCTTCAGAGTACCTGCCAGATCTATTCATGCTACTCCTCATTACCTCCCAACTAATCCCAGCATGAACTGAGGCAAGAACTTGTATAACTAACCTGATCAGGAGGGTCAGAAGAGAAAGGTGGCAATGAGTAGGGAAAAATAAATGCTTTAGCAGGACAAATGACAATGAAAAGAAGCCTATCCACCAGGTCAGTAAAACCTTTCTAGATTTTAGATTACCAGCTTTAATGGTGCACCCCGGAGCCACTTTCTCCCTTGCTGGCTCCCTACATCAGTAAGCACAGCAAAACGTCAGCAAACACATTTTGCAGAAAGCCACAAGTAATTCCCATAAACACTAAACCAAAAGGGGTAAAAAGAGTATACACAGTTTTTCTTCAATCAGCTGCCTGATTTTTATATACTTTGTGGCTTCTGTTTCATTAATTCATTTCCATCTAATTCCTCCTAGGGGCTGGGCACTCATTGGCTTTGATAATCACAATTGCTTTAAGGCTCTTCCAGAACGTGGCTGTGTTCAGTAATTGCTTTCCTCTGGGTGTCGGGGGAGGGTCACATCTGACCTGAGCAGTCATTGCGGCAGATACAAGTTAAAGTTAAATACATGATCAAGAAAAAGGAATCTTAATTACAAAGAGGAAAAAAAGAAATTTAAAGCCTGCCTGACCTCCTGATAATATGAAGATAGAATGTGGGTAATAAAGTTGACATCTCGCAGGGAAGTTAGGAGGAGAAACTCATAAAAATGACTAGGAGTGCTTTAGATTTACGAAGACCTAATTAAATGCTAAGGATCAGTAATAAGAACCTTAGATTATACACACAGTTCCTTCATTCCTTGAGTTCAAGATGCTGTTACTAACCCTCTGGTATTATGATGCAATATACAAATCTAGGTGCCACTAGAGTATGAAACAGAGAGAACTGAAGACTGCTTTCTTAAAAATAAAAATGTACTGAATTTATTTTAAGGAAGATAAAAATATCTCCAGGTAGTTTAACCCTATGATGCTGTTTTATTTTTAAAATATTTTATTTCTTTATTTTAGAGAGGAAAGGAGAGGGAGAGAGCGATTTGTTGTTCTACTTATTTATGCATTCATTGTTGTTTCTTATGTGACCTGACCTGGGATCAAACCCACAATCTTGGCATGTCAGGATGATGTGCTTACCAACTGAACTATCTGGCCAGGGCTGATGATGTGTTTTAAATGATTGTCTATGTACTGATTAGAGGCAAAAGGTAACTGTTCTTACTGTATTGAGAGCAGGAAAATACACTGAGGCTAGAGGGCTTAGAAATGGTGCTGTTCAAATTCCATGCATGAACTGAAAATTATGTGTTTGATAAAAAGAAGTCGAAGCACTAAAGAAGTAGTAGTTAGAGACAATAAGGAGAGTAACCCTGATGCAGGTAAAAGGGATTTGAGGTGTAAAACAAAAAAGACCAAATACATTTGAGAGGAAATTAACTAAGGACACAACATCAAGTGGAAAGTCGATATACTCATAAAAATAGGAGTATTTGCACACAGTTTTGAATATAACTGAAGGTGGGAAGGCAGCTGTCTAATTCTTATCAGTTTAGGTGTATCAAACCTCCTTGTCAAGCCATCCGCTCAAACTCCTTTTACTCAAATATTTGTTGCACAAGATTCTTGCAATTCTTCACAATGCTTATGACAAAAGTAATTCCATAATTTTATAATTGGTATTTCCCATCTGATTCCCAAACTCCATGTGGGCACAGGCCATTTCTCCAGAAGTATCTGCAGGGACAAGGAGTTTCTGGCCGATCACAGATCCAATAAATCCAAATGGAATGAGTGCTCTGCGACCCTTTCAAATGCCCCTTTCTGCCACATCTGCAAAGAGTACTACACTTGTACTTCCCTCTCTAGCTCAGTATGTCTGGATTACCTGGATTACATATTCAAGTAATAGCTGCTACCATTTATTAAGCACTTACTGTGTGCCAGGCATTGTATTAGGCCCTTTCTAGGAATTATTTCTCCTGATGATGAGTACTAATTTGTTAATTCCAAATTAACTGACTTGAGTCCTGGGGGGGCTTTCACAGCTGACATACTCTGCAACCTCATAGGGGCCCCTCCATTTCCTGGAGGGGGAAGGAAGAGGTGCTCCATCCCCCCCTCCCCCATGAGACAGAGGTAATGGGGATGCAGGTTGAAAATTAGAAAACCTAGGTTCTAGACTTGGCTTTCCCACCAATTCCCTGTGTGACTCTAGGCAGTCACTGAATCTCTCTGATCCTGTTTCCTCTTTGCTGAAATGAAATTAACAACAACCATAGCTACAGTTCTTATTTTTTTATGGGATAGAGGCTTTAAAGATTTACCACTGAGGCCCTAGACAGTTTGGCTCAGTGAATAGAGTGTCAGCCTGCAGAATGAAGGGTCCTGAATTTGATTCTGGCCAAGGGCACATACCTCAGTAGCAGGCTTGATCCCCAGCCCTAGTCAGAGTGCATGTGGGAGGCAACCAATCGATGTGTCTCTCTCACATCGATGTTTCTTCTCTACCCCTCCCTTCCACTCTCTCTAAAAATCAATAGAAAAATGTCCTAGGATGAAGATTAACACACACACACACACACAGATTTACCATTGAAGCCTCAGGAACAGTCTTCTGAAGTAGTAATTAGTATGATCTTCAGCTTATCAGATGAGGATAAAGGCTTGAAGGTTAAGAAATTTGCCCATACATGTATCTGAAATAAATGAAATCACTATCTTAAAAAGATATCGATATGCCCACATTCACTGCATTATTCACAATAGTCAGGACATGGAAACAACCTAAGTGTCCCTAAGTGTCTATCAACAGATGAATGGATAAACAAAAACACACAAGGGAATATTATTCAGCCACAAAAAGGAAATCCTCCCATTTATGAGAACACAAACAGAACTTTATGGCATTATGTTAGTTGAAATAAGACAGAGAAAGACAAATACTATATATCACTTATATATATAAAAGTCAAACTCATAGAAACAGTAGAATAATGGTTACCAGGGCTGGGGGGGTGGAGGGTCGGGATGAGAGATGAGATGTTGGTCAAAGGGTACAAACTTTCAATTATATAGACAGAATAAGTTCTGGGCATCTAATATTCAGCATGGTGACTACAGTTAACAATACTGTATTATATGATTTAAAATTGCCAAAAGACATCTTTAATGTTCTCACCATACCCAAAAATTCTAATTATGCGAGGTTATGCAGGTATTAACCTTGTTGTTATCATAATATATGCATGTATCAAATCATCACAATGTACTGCTTAAAATTACAAGTTACATGCCAATTATCTATCCTATATAATAAAGGCCTAATAGGCTAAGGGTCTGGTCGTCCGTTCAACCAAAGAGTAATATGCTAAGGCCGCTCAACCGCTCGCTATGACGTGCACTGATCACCAGGGGGCAGATGCTCCAACTGGTAGGTTAGCTTGCTGCTGGGGTTCAGCCTATTGGGACTGAGCAAGACAGGCTGGACACACCCTGGAGCCCTCCCACGGTTCCTCCCCAGCTGGCCAACCCCTGCATCCCTATCCCTCCCTGGCTCTGATGGTGCACCAGTGGGGGTCCCTCTGCCTGGCCTATGCCCTCTCGCAATCCAGGACCCCTTGGGGGATGTGGGAGAGCCAGTTTCGGCCCGATCCCGCAGGCCAGGCCGAGGGGACCCCACCAGTGCACGAATTCGTGTACCAGGCCTCTAATATATATATTAGGTATATATATTAGGTATATATATATATACCTAATATGCAAAATGTCCCCTTGGGAGTTCGACCAACTGGGAGTTTGACTGACCAGGAGTTTGATCGCTCACTATGATGTGTGCTGACCACCAGAAACTGGCTCACAAATGATGTCAAAGGTGGCTGAGCTTCCCCAGACTTGAAGCCAGGTCTGTGGGGCTCCCACCTGAGGTGGGCTAAGGCAGTGTTGTCCACTTGGCACTTTCACAACTTCGGTCACTCCTGGTACCTCTGGCACTATGACTTACCTATTATGTCTTATTTAAATCTACTACCTTTTTACAAGAACTCCATCCACGTTAAATGGAAACTTTATACTGCCACTTATATGGGAAACCACTATCATTTGTCATAAAGAGTCATCTTTCCGCCCAAAAGTGAGATGAAAAGGAAAAGATGTGAATGAAGTCTAGCTAGATACGGAGCCTGTTGAAAGCGCTGAGCTTGGCGGCTGCTATTTAAAAAGAAAAAAAAGAAAGAAAAGAACAGCGGCTAGCCAGCGTTTCAGGTCTTCGAGACTTTCTAGAAAGCCACGCTTAGGAATCCTAAAGAACTGAAAAGGGGAGGATTCTCCGGACCTCCGGGTCAGCGCTGCTCACAGCCGCGCTGCGGACCCCCTGCCAAGGGCTCGGTCCACCTG